CTCAGCTTCGCGTTAGTGGGGACAGTCATGTTATTTTAAAAATTATGTAAATCACATTATACTGGCCAAAGCACAGAAGGGTGAGCAAATGACAGCATTTTTATGGGCCGGGGACGAAGGATCGCACGTCGCATTTCCTTGTCGGGTCCTGGGGCGTTTTGTGAGTGGGGCGTGGCCTTTCCCCGTTAACTGGTGGCATGAGTAAAGCTAAAGCCCGAAATCGGATTGTAAGACCTGGATACGACCCCTTTCCTGCTGCATTTCTACCTAAAACAGGGCTCTCCCTTTGGACAACGCGAGTCATCGGGCAACTTGAAGCCTATAAATAGTAGAGACAAAGAATCCCAAAATCGCAGGGGCGATCAGGCAGGCAGGTCTCAAATAAAAGGTCTGAAAATTTGAAAGCACATTGAAACTAAAAATCCCGACAGTCATAGTATGAAAACAGTTCCTTTTAATAGGAAAACTCCATTCAGTAAGGGCTCATCTTTAGCGGCCTGGGGAAGGGAAAGACAAGACGAGCTTTTACAGTCTATATTTCAAATAATATTGATCATCCTTTACCAACACACAGAGTAATCCTGTCTATTGATGACCTTTGACTTCCAGAAGGATTTAGTAAAATGAGTGACAGAAGACCTGAGATTCATTCTCAACACTTCTTAGGTTAAGTCACTGTCTCTAAGCCTGTTTGTTCATAAACCAAATGATTATACTGCAGTCGACGTTGCCAAGCTCATAGAACTAGTGAGAGGATCAAATAAGATGATGGAAAATAAGGTCTCAATTTAAATGACATATCTCCAGGGAGCTCCCCATTTTATATTCCCCTCTATCCTATTTGTTTCTTTAAAAAAATGTTTTTATTGATTTCAGAGAGAGGAAGAGAGAAACACCAATGGGAATCGGCTTCCTCCTGCACACCTGAGCTGGTAACCCAGGCCTGTGACCTGCCCAGAATAGAACTGGTGACCTCCAGTGTATGGGCCAATGCTCAACCAACTGAGCCACACAGGCTGGGCCTCTGTTTCTTCGTAGCACTTACCACAGTGTGTAATTTAAGAATTCTCACACAAATATGTATATAATGTATCTTACTTTCCAGACTGTAATCGAAACCTCTCTATTTCTTTTATTCATCACCTAGCACCATGTTTTAGCATTGTTGTCCTTAACACTCAACTTAAAATATTTACATATATTTGAATGATTAAAGAAATCTTGTGTAAATTTGACTTAAATGAAGAACCTAGAAGCAATGATGAGTTTCCATAAGACTTTATTACTTAGTACCAAGCCACTCAACCTTCCTTCTCTCTACTGCCACTTAATTTAAATTCTGACTAGTCATTGTGGTATCCCTACATATGCAAGAATCATTATTTAGTTTGATGATTCATCATGACTCCATCAGGATTCTAACTTCTATAACATTTTCGACAGCCAGTCATCTTTCCTACACCATCCTTAGATGTCCTTTCCAGAGTACCCAGAATGAGCATTCTTTAAAATCACAGATCACATGTTCAACTGAATTGTTATCATCGTGATGTTTTCATTATTTTGCAGTAGTAGGAGATTACTATCATCATCCAGAAGTTCACACAAAAATGATGACTTCAGCCAGAACTGGTTTGGCTCAGTGGAAAGAGCGTCGGCCTGTGGACTCAGGGGTCCCAGGTTCGATTCCAGTCAGGGGCATGTGCCTTCGTTGCGGGCACATCCCCAGTGCGGGGCGTGCAGGACGCGGCTGGTCAGTCTCATCGACTCATCGATGTTTCTAGCTCTCTATCCCTCTCCCTTCCTCTCTGTAGAAAATCAATAAAACATATTTAAAAAAGAAAAAAAGAAACAGAAGCTTAGCATTAGCTTTAAAAAAAAATGATGACTTCAACATTTTAGTCATGTGGTAATTGACCACATGTCCTACATCAGCATGACTGATGACCAAGGTTTTCTTTTTGGCTACAGTAGATTTTAAAGAAAAAGATAGGAAAGATTCTAGAATAGGAAGGGGAAGAAAGGAAACTAACATTTATTGAGCATACATTATGTGCCAGATATCATATAAATACTTATTCTTCTTCAGTCCTCACAACAACCCTGTGAGGTAAGTATTATACTCATTTCATCCTTTTTCAGACAATGTAGATTATCTATTTAATTTTTCTATCTTCCATTCACTTTTATCCTTCCTACTATAGAGATTCTGGCAGTTGTATATCTGAAGAGCCTACTTTCACTCAATAAATATTAATTTAATGGAATAAGTTTCACAGAATCAATGGATAATTGAAATCAGAAACTATTATCCTTCTGTCTTGGATATACTTTGCGAGGCCTTGATAAAGACCTGGCCTACTAAGTATTCTTACTTGGTTTCCACCTTTCATATTTATTAAACACACACAGTATATTATTCATGTTCCTAACTGACTCGAGGCTCAGTCTCCTTAATCTTATAGGGACCAGGAAGCAAGCCTGATCAACAATATATATTGAATGTTCTTAACCATAAAATGACCTCTCCATCTTCTGGTTAAAAATAGTATAAACAGAGTTCACATGCCTCAGCATTAGATAAAAGGGGACCATCTTTCTCTTACCTGTACCCAGGGGAAACTCGGAAATCTTCCTTCATGGTTCTCCTCTAGCCCTGCATGAAGGGGTCATTACTGTGGAACTTTATGTCTTCCCTCCACCTTCTCTTGGAAGGATGACCTTGGTTCACATCTATATCCCTGAGCAAATAGGACTTTTAATTTTCTTTCTCATCAATTCCTTTTGGGGCTATTTCCTCATTTGATTCTAATTTCTCTGGACCTTATAATAGTCAAGATAAAAGCATGTTTCAGGAGGAAACTAGCCAGTGGTAGGATGTACCAGCTTATTTGTGCCATGCCCCCCTGCAAAAAAATTTTTTTTCGGATTTATAAAACCTCCTTTGCAGTGACATTATCTACCACTTCTACCCCGACTCTTCAGGATTTGGACAACATAAATGAAACTGTTTTTCTCTACTCTGGTGTGGAGAGTCTCACCCAGCATCATTTCACATATCTAGGAAAATATATAGGGGGAGATCCAGCTCCATGTCCCACTTCTTCCTTTATGTCCCACTAGAAAGTCCATCCTCTCTTCTTAGAGGAATTCCAAGGGTATATGATCACACATACATGTTTCTTGCCCCAGGATCTTCAAAGGACGCTGTAGCTGTAGGAGAGGCTCTTTACGCCGATGCCCGCCACAGCTGCATACAGTTCAGGCACCACCAACTCTGGTACCTGCAACACAGCTTTGTCATCTGCAGTTCGAGAGGCAGTTTCTAGGCGTGAGCATAATTCTCTAACTGACGGGCGTTTGTCCTCTTTCCAGCGCCAGCAGGATTTCATAAGACTATACCTGAAAGGGAAATAAGAGAAACTGACTTCCTTGGCAAGGCAAATGTCTGAGGAACACGTCTCCTCACCTAACAAATCTTAACAAAAACAACAACCCTAAAATTCTTTAATCTACTTCTTATTGTCCTGACTCTTATATTCTTCCCAGAGATTAACATTCTCTTCTGCTCTTAATGTAAATCTCTTAATATCATCTTCTCAATAGGGCCCTTTTAATAATAGGAATGACTGAAGATTTCTCAGGGTACAATCAGTATGACAGAACAGTGCCCACCCCACCCCCATTCTGTTGCCAAAAGCTCTTTCAGAAGTTGTGTTCTCATCTTTAGATATTACTAACTTGCAGCATTTCAAACCATTGGTACAACTTATCTACTAATAAAAGGTATATCACAGCCAGGAAAATAAGAAGTCATGGTACAGCATAGGGAGTACAGTCAATAATCTGTATTAATAAAAGGGTAATATGCTAATTAGACCGGGTCGACCGCCCATCTTCCGAACATCCGACTTCCTTCCGGACAAAGCCATGGTGGTGCGGGCCAAGGCAGAGGCAGTTAGGGGCGATCAGGCCAGCAGGGGAGGGCTATTGGGGGTGAGATCAGGCCTGCAGGGGAGGACAGTTAGGGGCAATCAGGCAGGCAGGCAGACAGGTGAGCAATTAGGAGCCAGTGGTCCCAGATTGCAAGAGGGATGTCCAACTGCCAGTTTAGGATCCCCCAAGGGGTCTCCGATTGGAGAAGGTGCAGGCTGGGCTGAGGGAACTTCCCCCCAACCTGGTGCACAAATTTCGTACACTGGGCCACTAGTATTGTAATAACTATGTATGGCTCCAAATGGGTACTAGACTTATCAAGGTGATCACTTCATAAGTTATATAGATGTTCAATCACTATGTTCTACACCTGAAACTAATATATTGTATGTCAACTGTAATTGAAAAATTAAAAAAATTATAAAAATATATATAAGAAGTTATGGAATAATATTATTCATCCTAATTTTGGAAAGTGTAATTGGGTTTTTCCTTCCATGAATCCAGATCATTTCCCCCCTTTATAATTTACCTTCTTCAAAAAATTGCCTTAATCTAGAAAAGTATTTACCACCTTTCATCTATCTTTTCTTCAATCCAGTTGAGAGAATGTATAATGCTGTCTGTTTTCAAACACTTTCATCATGTCCCATCCCTGCTGAAGACCCTTCAGTGGTTTCCCACTATCTACCATGTGAAGTAGACACCCTAGCCCAGCCGTGGGCAAACTACGGCCCGCGGGCCGGATCCGGCCCGTTTGAAATGAATAAAACTAAAAAAAAAAAGACCGTACCCTTTTATGTAATGATGTTTACTTTGAATTTATATTAGTTCACACAAACACTCCATCCATGCTTTTGTTCTGGCCCTCCGGTCCAGTTTAAGAACCCATTGTGGCCCTCGAGTCAAAAAGTTTGCCCACCCCTGGCCTAGCCCCTAGCTTCTCTACCACATAGGCCTTGCCTAACTGAAGCCCTCTCCTCCAGCCAAGTCAGTGTCTCCTTATGCCATAGATGTGGTTATCAACACCCAGCTCTGTCTTTGCTCATGCTGTGCCCAACTCCTTGAATATGCTCTCTGTGGTCATCATTTCCTATGGGTTGGTTTTAAATCTCAATTCCTCTGTGAAGCTTTCCCTTATAAACCTCAGTGCCCTCTGTATTTCCCACACTTGTTAATGTTGAACCATGAGACTTTGTAAAAGATGCTACTTTAATAATACTGCTAACATTTAGCAAGAGCTGACTTATATAAGACATTGGAGTGAAATTTAGCATGCATTATTTCATTTTAGTCTCACAATAACTTTGAGGTAGGATTATCATTATAACTATCTCAAAATAAGTAAACAATAGCAGGATTAGCACTGAACTTATGTCTTTTTGACTCTGGGATGAATCTGAGCTTTTGGTTTCAGATATCTCCTCATCCAATGATAAATTCTTCAAGTAGTGATCTTATCAGTTAAGTGTCTCCCCCCAGTATCAAAGAGAGCCTTTTATATATAGAAAGCCTGCAAGAAATATTTGTCAGCAATTTTATTCTAGTATACCCAGCCAGTATCACAATACTGTGGATATTTATAGTTATGATAGTTAACATTTATAATCTGCTTGATACAGTAAATGATTACTTGGAATTTACCATTTAGTGCTGAAGATTTTACAAAATAGCAAAAATTGTCATGGAAATGTATGTTAGTATATTATATTCTTTCCTGCCTTCTTATAAATAATTTAACCTTTTTGTATGTTCTATAACTATCCCTTTTTGTACTTTATTAGTCATAAAATTCTGAGTGTAATTTTTATTTTTTCCTTTTTATTTATTTATTTATTTTTTTTGCGCCTACATGGTTCACCAGTTATCCCATTCTGCTGGCAATATTGGATCCTCTTTCTCCTGTCTTTAAAATTTCCTCCTACCTCCTTCTACTGGTTGACTTCTAATGTGCTCAGAGCTGGAAAAACAAATAGTCAATAATTTTTAAAAGTTAAATACTAAATAAGAGCCAATGAATAATTCTGGTGCAATGGATTTTATGACAGCTATATTAGGACTAAGGCTGGCAGTTTCTGACTGAGACTGACATTTAGACAAGTAAAACACTACTGTACTTGCACTGTTTTTGGTCTTCTTCGTACCTATTTTGGAAGCTTAGAGGAACTAAACCAAACTTGGATTCCTAACAGAGTTCTCAGTGGTTGCCTCAACATGGTGTGTGCGTGTGTACAGACACAAATACATATGTACATATGATATATATGACATATGAGCAGATATGTTTCACTGCCTAAGTTTGATATAGCTATGTACATTAGCACATAAAGGACAGCTGGGGATGATCTCTGAAAAGGGCATGATTAATAGGGAGCAATAAAAGATTTGGAATGAGAGAAGAGTAGGCCTTAAAAGCCACTTACATGGTTTGTGTGCAGCTACTGGGTCTCTTCATGATCTTCCCTCTTTGCAGATGCTGTAGAATGCTGATAGGAGGGACTTCAGGATATGGTGGTGCCCCTGTTGGTAGGGAAAGCATGAGAGTAGCAAGAGAACGTTAGGTCCTCTAGAATACAAACTATAAATCTGAAGACAACATTTTATGTTTATGCAAGATCACTCTTGGAATTATCCTTTATCCTTTGGATTTTAAAATATCCTTGGAATTTGTAAAGTGTTGAGGAAAAGAGAAAAAAAGCAAAAAAAAAAAAATTAAAAGGAGTAGAAGGATTTCATGTCAGCCCAGTTTAAACCTCAGAGATTCAACTGAAACCCCTTCTCATAGAATATGTCATCCATCACTCAAACCTACTTGCATACAGGTACATACCTAGAGTCACCATCTCATAAAGCAGGATACCAAAGGACCAGCTATAAAAGAAACAAAGTCATTTAATTAATCTCTGTTTTTCCTTTCCTAAAGAGAACTCACTTAAACATCGGAGGCCTTCAGATATTAAATAAAGAAGGCAAAGTAAAGGAACAGAGAGTGTCTGATAAAATAAGCCAAGTAAGAGTGCCATTTGAAAGCATTTCTATCCAATCTCTTTAGAGTGTAATCCCTTTGAGGACTGGATTCATGTCTACTTTTTTTCTATATTTCATATTAACAGATATTTACTCTTATTGGCTAAATTATGGGTGTGTTTATGCAAACACATTCTCACCCAAACATAAAGAAATTCCCCTCAGCATATTTTTCATCCTTTCCATTCCTTCCTGCTGAAATTCCAGCCTTTATTTTTAGCACAAAACCAAATGAGGGTTATCATTTATCTACTCTTTCCTCAGTATATCTAATTGACCAAACCTAGGAAAAATATTAACAGAACGAGCTTTATACATAGTCGGAATACATATTTCCCTATGCAACATAATTTGAGAGATGTATGTTTCACTATTCTATAACACCATCATTCAATGAGTAATGTTTCCCAGTTCAGCGTATTGCTCCCAGACTTCTATTGAGAAGCTGATGTCAGTGAAGCAGCAATGGAAGTCTCTTAATTGACTTACCATATTAACTGACATTCTACATTTTCTCTGCTGCTCATGACATTCATAGTTAATAAGATAGTCCATCTTACACCTATGTACTTCTCCAAGCAGTTGAGTTATATGGTTATCAAAATTCAATTGTGATTCTTTACAGTCCTATTTATACCAATCATACATGTAGCTGTAATTATGTAATCAATTAAATATTATGCAAGCTAAATATGAATGCAAAAAAATATTAGCTCCCTGAAAAGTAGGCTGAATGCTTTGAAAATATTCTATAAAAATAAGCTTCTAAAAAGAAAGTGGTATCAAATTGTGTGGGTGACACAAATGTAAAAAAATTAGGAAAAATAACAATAAATGTCTGCGGTCAAATTGTTTCACAACTGTTTTTCAAGTTTCTCACTCAGAATTTAAACTGAAACTCAAAAATAATTTATGACAGACACTATTCATACAAGTAACAACATGTAACATCATTGAGCAGGTCCATCCTCATGAAAAAGGTATTGACCCTTCTCCAAAAGATCAATCAATATATATCCATTTATATGTTTTAGTTAAAATAAATTATTTGAGGCATGTATGTATATTTCTTTTTACTTTAATAATTCCTGGTTTAAGTGAACTTTTGATTAAGTGGACCCACGTCCTTCAAATTAAAAGGACTCTACTAGATATCAGTATAAACAATCTTTTCATTTTTCTTTTTGCTTTTCTAATTAAGGTTGCTAATCTAATACCGAAGGAATAATTCGAAAGGCATTAAAAAAGATTGCAGCCAGATGCCAAATACGAGCTTTGTCACATAATACATATTTCTGCTTGAGAGTCTGTCTGACTTCTAAGTAGACATAATTGACAACAGACGCTGTCATGGTCAGGGACGAGAGGACACTCAGGTCAAGAAGGGAAGAAATCCCAAGGGCAGGAACAAACCGTACATGTCTCCTCTGATGCCAGCTGGTCTCAGCAGTAGCCTTTCTGGGGCAAGCCACTTGAGGGGCACAGTGCGAGTAGAGGTGATAGCCCCTTGGGTGTGGACTTCATAAGCCAGGCCCAGTCCACAGAGCTTAGCGGTAAGGTCACATTGGATCAGAATATTTCTGGCTGCCACATCCCCATGGAACAGATGTTTATCCTGAAGAAATTCCTATCAATTTAAGATCAAAGGTAGATCAGCTGTCTGAGGTCATGGCTTGGATCACACCCAAGGAGAAGCAGTGCTAGGGATCATCAAAAAGATAAGGACATTTTCTATTCCAAGCAAGTCTCTCTAATATTGTCATATCACTTCCAAGTCATGATAATGGATCAGACATTTTGCAAGTCCAACCAAACATGTTCTAAACTAACATTTCTTGGTTTTTAGGTATAAAATTATTTAGCATTGGCTTCACTTGAGGGCATCCCCAGAGTCTCTGGGTGGAGGCAGCAGTGAGGTCCCCAGCGTTGACGATAGCCGGCGGGGGGGCGGGGGGGGGGGGGCCCCAGGGGGCTGGCTGGGGCATCACCACTGGCTTTGACCCTGAAATGGTGCTGCTGGCTGAGCACGTGGCTGAAGCCACTGGCCAAGGACAAGCAGATTGAGATGGGGCCCTTCCTCTAGGTGCTGTCCCACCTGCCACCCTTCTTTGATTGCCTTGAGTCCACAGTGTTTACACCCATCAAGGCAGACCTAAGTGCCAACATTATGAAAATTAAAGCTGTGATTGACACTGACTGGCCAAGTTCTGGACCATATAGAATATCCTGAGGGCAAAGAAGGAAATGTATGGAGCTGAGTGGCCCAAAGTGGGGCTAGGCTGGTGCTGATGTGGCTGAAGAGGCCTCCGCTTCATCCAGATCTTCCTCCAGATCTGTGATGGGGAGTGGGCCAAGAACCACCCCAACCTCATCCACATCAATGCCACCAAAGCCTAGGAGATGGCCCTCAAGAAGCATCACAGCTGGATCTTGCAGAAGATCCTCCAGGCAGCACTGTATGCAACACCCCATAAGTCCGACTTCCTGAAAGCGCTCGCCAAGGGCCAGACATGAGGGAGGAGGAGTGCCTGGAGAAGGCCTGCCTTTTCCTGGTCAACTACAGGGCCACCACTGAAATCACCTAGGAGATGTCACCAAGATGAATCCTGGTCTCAATGACAAGGTGTAGGTGTGCCACCTGCCGCCCCATATGTGGCTGCTCACAGAAACAGACAACCCAGAATCACTGTGAATCTAGCTGGCAGGCTGCCCTTGGCCTGCATCCCCCAGAGCAGCCAGAGTCTGGCTGGGGTCTGCGGAAGACAGCCCTGGTTTCTGAAAAGTCATTTTTGGGATCTATCCTAATGGAGCAATAACTGTCCTACTTCTGAATCACCTTTGAATTTCACAACAGCACAGACGGACTATACCTTCATTTCAGTGTGGTAAAAAGCAATTAATGCTGCTAATAAATCACGACCTAGGGTTTTTTGTCCCCCCCGCCCCACTCCGAGATGGTGCATGACTCTGAGGACATATACCTCACTTTAAAAATGAGGATCTGGCCGAAACCAGTTTGGCTCAGTGGATAGAGCGTCGGCCTGTGGACTCAAGGGTCCCGGGTTCAATTCCAGTCAAGGGCATGTACCTTGGTTGCGGGCAC